AACAACTTTTGTTTACAGTCATGGCTAACTATGTATAATCAATTCATTTAAATTCACAGTACATTTCCTATCAAGTGACACATTTTTTAGTTTGATTTTATTAAAAAATGGCACAATTTATCGATATTCAATAAGAGTACCTTTTTTATGTAGAAAACCCTAAGTTTTCAAATTCTAAAATTGAATTTCAAAAAGAGAATCACACAAAAATTTTGGGGCTAAAATAACCTGAGTCCATCCCTGTAACATCCGCTTCCAAACAAAACTGTCTAAAGTTGTTAATATTTTTAAATCCAGCATAAAAAACTAAGCTAGAATACCAAATTTTATGTCTTTATCTCAACAGGTTTCGGAAATATTAAGGAAAAACCATCTTCACGGGAGCCCCTTTAAAAGACCGTAGCGCCCTTAGGGGACGTTTGTCGACCTATGTTTATATAAACTTTTCTTCCTATTTTAAGCTCTAGAACCGCTGGTAGAATATTGCACACATTTTGCGGGACACCCTATATATTGTTTTTTCTTTTGTTGTATATATACCTATAGAGCAGTGGCACGATTTTTTAATCATAGTCTAATTGATTGGCAGAATTGCGTGGGAAATACATAGTCAACCTACTTGAAGACGTTCTAACCAGGTTTCATTCATCAGGTAGCATTGAAGTCTCCAAGCGAAACTCGGCACTATATACGTACAACTTCAAAGGACAGCTAAACAGAAAACTCGCTCCGCTTTGTCAGCTGTAGAAATCAAACCAAACCAATGTTTGATATATTTTAGGATACCTGCGTTGAAGTCCCCAAAATTTGCAAGAGGTTTCGTTTCTGATGCAGTATTGAAATCACCACCTGGACCTCGGTACTAAATAATTTCAAAGCCAGTTTCTGTATGGCTGAAGCTGAAGAAAAACAAATCAGATATAATCGAGCCCATTGAAACGTTCCTATATCGGTATTTCTTTGTGTACCTGTTGCTCTAAAGGCCATTGACTATAGTTACGTGCTCATATACATAGTGAATATCGTACTCACGCAACAGCAGGAAAAAACAAAAAGACAGGCATTGAATTCCGAGTAAGTGAATATTATAGGGATATCCTTATAAGCGATCTGTATACAGGGTGTCTGAAGATCCTATAGTATTAAGAAAGAGCCGTATCGTTAATCGTTCCTACAATTGTAGGACGCCCTTACTGTCTTTTCATAGTCTTTTCTGTCCTTCAGAAAGACAAGGGTATTTCTAGATTTCCACTTTTTCGACTCAGCGCTCTATTTTGAGGTTATATTTTGTTTTTGAATTCTGAGAAATTTCATCAGGCTGATAAAACTCCGAAATTTCTTAAGATTCAAATAGACAACAAAACCTCACATACGGGAGCGTTGACGCTGACTCGGAACAGTAGATATCTGAAAATACCCCAGTCTTTCTAAAGAAGATAAAACTATATGAAAATCAAGGAATATGAAGTCGTGGTTATGTTGGGATCAAAAGTTGAAGCCTCATCTACAACGTATAAAAATGTATGTTTGACATTGGGTCCACTCAACGCATATTCACTAAGGTCATGTGGTGAATGTGACTGCACTAAATATATATTTGGAAAATCGTGCCAACAAGTAAGAATTAGTGGCAAAATTCCATCTAAGGGTCAGTAATAAGACCAGTACTATTTACAGGCGCAACCATCATTATAACATTATTTACAGCATTGCAAACTGCACTTTTACGCTGATGATACACAAGTCTACCACAAATTTGACGTTGACAGTGAGAAATCTTACGAAATTTAACATTAATTCCGATCGAAAAAACTTTCATCTTTCTTCTCTGCATTCCCTACCGAACGTTGTCATCATCAATTCTTGAAAGATTATATCCGGAAGTGGTTAGGCTCTTTTAGAAAAACAAACTGACTACGAACATGTATAACAAAGGAACTGAATGGAACATGTCAGTGAAACAGGCTCATAAAATTATTCCAGAGTTCTCCATAGATTTGACAACATTGGAATCATCTCGGATAGTTTTCGAAAACAAAAATGAGTAGCATTAAGAAGTTTCCAAACGTCTTATTAATTTATTCTTTAAGTGTAGTTAGCGAAAGAAAACAAGTATGATATTATCCATTACAATTTTATTTAATAGTGGCGAATCTCTCAAAAAAGATGTATAAGATGACCTCCATTTTCGTGCCTGCAAATACAGCAAAAAAATATAATTAATTTTCTCCAAGATGTCATTATTCTTTGATGTATACTAAGTGACATATAAATCCGGATACCCAGTTTAAATGGTTTTATTTTAATAAAATTTTGTATAAGTACTTAATTAAGCATAATAAGTAAATGATAAAAATTTCAAAATGATTGCACTGCTTTAAAGCCCTTTGACCTTTAATAATGTGTGGATGCACCCTGATGTGCTACGCATTCTGCAACGCGCCTAGGCATGCTTCTGATCAGATGGTCAATGTCCTCCCGTGGTATCTCATTCCAGGCAACCGCCAACTCCTCTCGAAGTGCTTCTAGAGTCTGAGGAGGACGTTGCAAATTGAGCAATCTCCTACCCATCATATCCCACACGTGCTCAATTGGGGATAAGTCGAGAGATCTTGGTGGCCATGGTAACAATGTGACATCATTATGTTGAAAGAAGTCTATTGTGACTCTTGCAACATGTGGTCGGGCATTATCTTGTTGGAAAGTTGGATCTGCCAAGGTGTCAAAATGGGGTAAAAGATGGGGTTCTAGAATTTCGTGGATATAACGCTGCGCGTTCATGTTACCTCTGATGAAGATTAAAGGTGACCTGGAACCATAAGCTATAGCACCCCAAACCATAACTCCAACAGTGTGATGAACATGTCTTTCAACAAAAAACTGTGGATTCCTCCTTTCACCACGTCGCCTTCTAACCCTGGCACGACCATCGTGCATGCCTAAAAAAAATCGAGACTCGTCACTAAAGACAATACTGTTCCATTCCTGATCCCAGAGTGACCGTTGTCTGCACCACTCAAGGCGATTACGTCGGTGTTCTCGAGTTAAAGGGAGGACCCAGTGTGGCCGGTATGAAAACAAGCCAAAACTTCTCATTCGTCGGTAAAAACTTCGCATGCCAATAGGTCTTCCGTGTTCTGCAAACCATTCATTTGCAATGGACCTGGTAGTGGAGAAACGGTCCCTTAAGGTCAATAATCTTAGGCGGCGATCTTCACGGTCTGTTGTTCTACGGCGGCGTCCAGTGCCCCTTGCTCTTTGCGTACGGCCTTCTCGAAGCCATGCCTGACAACACCTAACCACAGTGTCTACACTTCTTTGCACTCTAACTGCAATTGCCCGAAAAGAAAGTCCAGCTTCCCGAAGTCCCACTATACGGCCCCTATCAAACTCACTAAGTTGACGAAATCGTACAGGTCTCCGTACTCTAGGCATCGTAACCGATCGTAAAGGATGTCAAGAACCAAAATCCGCCAACGTTGATTCTTTACTGCGGCTGAAATATTCGTTTTTAGAGCGTTAGTGAATTAAAAAAAAGCAGTATAAAAACCGGAATGTCCAACTGATAAGGCTGAAATTTTTTTCACTTGTTATTTACAGTAAGATAAATACATTCACCAACTTTTATTAAAATAAAACCATTTAAACTGGGTGTTCGGATTTATATGTCACTTAGTATATTTACAACATTTTGAATCCTGTCCCACAGTTGATTGGTGTTGTTTATCTGAACATCATATATCCATGTTAAAAAGCAGGGTCCTTGTAGAGCTCGAGAAATTATAGAAATATATGTTTCAACTCTTCTCATATCCTTATCGGTTTTTTGTAAAATCCAAATATTAGGACGTTCAGCAAAACATGTGCGTTGCAAATGGCATTCAAATCTGACTATGGATTCCAAATTTAACTGAAAAAATGTGTTTTAAAAAAACTTTAACTCCCTCTAACGGATAACTGGAGCACTATTGCAAAGAAGTTATTCACGTCCAATCTAATTATTTCGAGTCTAAGAATACATGGTACTTTTATGTCCACAGAATATTTGGACGCCCTGTATAAGATTCTTCAAAGAACACATGTAGTAATTTTGTCGGGATTATTCATAGAAACATAAGCTAAAGTATCATAATTGTCGTGTTTTACCAACTGATGGCCAACTTCAAAGCGACTAGCGACGGCAGTGCCAGCCACCATTGAGCAACTGGTCAGGTTGCCATTGCTTTGGTGAGAACGGCTCCTACAGCTTGCATAATTTAACCATTGTGGATTTCGTGGATAAAAAAATTGCAGCAGATAACTCTTTGCCCCAGTTTTCTGAATCACCTTATATCTGTATACACCTTCGTGTTGGCATGCAAACAAGTGGCTGTGGTAGTTGGCATCGTCCAGCTATTCTTCTGCCGAGATCGAGCCGAGTCGAGCCTATGGCTATTGGTCGTTGCTTCGATGGTACTGCTGCTGCATCAGCCATTATTATCTAGATGAATTGCAAACACAAATTCAAGTTTTACTCGTCGTTTATTTTTGTTTGCCGGCCGCTGGATCGGCGATACTATACACGAGACTATTAGATTGTTTTTCTTTTTTCTGTAGATGCAGGGTGCTGTGTATCTATCTTTATCGCCATTCTAATGCTTGAGAAAAGTAATTTTCTAATATTTTTTAAGTACACAAAATGTCTCAAAATAGGTGAGCAAGCATATGGACTCACAAGAAACGTAGAAAAATAATGAGACTACCTTCTATAAAGAAAGGAACGCCACTGAAAATACGATTTTCTTCAATAACTTCTGAGCAACACTGTGCTACTCAACGAAATTTTGACATCATAGTAACTAGTAAGGAATTCACCCAAACAGAGATGAAGAGGAAATAGAGAATATGCTTTTACCTTCTGGCTCCAAGAAAGGGAAAGTAATCAAGAAAAAGAGAGCAATAGTAGACACTGCAAGCAGCGATGAAGAGGGAGTTGATACTAAGTTTTCTTTGGCTTCTAGTTATTCACTGAATTTATCAGAAGAAGAAAAATCTGTAAATACTGCAAGCGCAAACCTCAGAAGCTTCGAGGGTTCTATACCCGAAAAAGATGATTTTGTTGCAGTTGAGTACGATGGTGATTACTGGTCGGGGCAGGTGGACAGTAGAAAGCGATGGAGCCTTTATAAAATGCATGGCAAAATGTGGAAAACTGTGGAGATGCCCAGAAAAAGAGGACTGCATATTTTATGCCACAAACTAAATTCAGTTTTCTATAAATTCTCCAAAGCAAATTTCAACCAAACGTCATCTTTTCAGTGTCCCTGCCCTGAGCTTGCTTAATTAGGTATAACCGTTAATAAAGTTTTTGTTTTGTTTATTTAAATTTTTTGACTTACCTTTTACTTCGATAAGTTGTGCTACAAAGGCAGTTTTTAGTATTAATCTTACGTATGTATTATTTTATTACCATAGAAATTGCAAATATTGAGTGACTATTTTTATTTAAATATGAGTTTTGAAGTTTTTGTGAGTGAAATATTTTTTTTCAAGTATAATTTTCATTGCTTGACACTAATGTTGGGTTATATGCTTCCAACAATAGTTACCTATCGACTTATTGCAATAAATTCCTTATGGATCATAGATGTGTCCACAACTATGGTCGAAAGATTAACAAAAAAATTGTTAAACTTAAACAATATTTTGAAAAAAACCAAAAATATCAACTAACTTCTTAAAAACTTTTAAGTCTTGCTACTCCATAAGAATGTTTTAAAGTAAGTCAGGTTTTAAGTTATAACGCGTATTCCAAAAAATCACTAAAAATTGGACCATTCTCGTGTGAAATTACGGTAAAGTTTTCAATTATGATACAGGATTCAATATAGTGGTTTTACGTAATCAAGTTTTAGGTTCTTGTATACCAGAAAAACCGATTGCCAAGTTATTGGAATCCTACTTAGGGCCATATCGACAGTCCATCCTAAAGTTGGAGCACCCCTTAATGCCTCCTTGATTTTCATAGTATTTCCTATCCTTCAGAAAGGCACGGATATTCCTAGATTTATACTGTGTTGTGTCAGCGTTTTATTTTGAGGTTATATTTTCTTTTTGAATTCCTAGAAATTTCAGGCTGATGAAACTTATCTTTTTATCATCTGTTTCGTCAGACTGAAATTTTCAAAGATTCAAAAAGAAAACATGCCTTGCTGAACGAGAGAAAAGATCAAGGAGGCCACAAAGGCCTCCCTACAATTGTAGGAGTGACTGACGATACGGCCCCGAATGTAATAAAATGTGAGTAATGTAAGTTGCCTCGATATATACGATTTCGTCAGCCTTTCTTGACCGATTTTGTAGTCCTTCTGATGAGAAATTTTGACAAGCAGACAATATTGCCAAGATATCGGAAACGGTACTAGATACGAATACGGTTAAATGGGGAAAAAGTTGGGCGTTTAGGTAAGGAAATGGCACTCAGGAAGTTTCCCAGTTCAGATTATCTCTGGAGATAGACAAAAAGAACTGAATTTTCTGGAAATCGTTCCATTTTTACCTGACTTCAGAATATCAAAATAATAATAGTGATGGTTTTTAATTGATAAGTGAATAAAAAACAACTAATATTGGCACTGACAGTTTATCTTATATTTATCCGATTAAATCATCATTGCTTCAGTTTTTGAGAAGCATGTTTTAAACACATTCTTATAATCTGTCCATTTATCTACTATGACGAGAATTATTTAAAAATGGTGAGGGCGCTTTACATGTCACCCCAGCCACAGATCAATAGTACATGAATGCAAGATGTCTGCATCGGTTTAGATATGGCAGATATGAAATGCATTCAGGAAGCTACGACATCGTAGAGGCTTTTATTTACTCCTAAGTGTCTTATCTGTTACACAAAATGGTGCTACCTTTATTGTATTCACCTTTAAAAAATGTGGTAAAGGTTCAGTATTGGGTTGTTCCTTATTCGATCAGTAGATCAACTACAACAATGTTTTGTAATATCAATATATGTCATGATCTGTGTAATATGACGTCATGAAAATAGAAAATGAGGACTGTTCACCTATGCTTAGTTCATCAAAACTGAAGGAACACTTTTTGGATTGACTATCGGATGATTTCAATGTCTACTTAGGCAATTCTGTTTTATTTTAATAATAATATATGGAGATATCAATATATAACATTATGCATTCTTGGAATTAGACCTATTTACTCTACTTACCTCTGCAAAAATTCCGTACGTCGTCAGTAATAGAAACTAAAGTTAATAATTGAGGACAAGACGTTGAAATTTTAAGTATGCCACTTTGAGAGAAGAAAATGTAGCAATCTTAATGTGTCTTTTATTGTGAAATGCCATCACAAAGTCAAGAAGAAAAACGTTTTTGGGAAAATTTGGTTCCTTCCCCCACCCGGTATCGCTGTTATATTCCGGCATATGTGGCCGGGGCACAAATGTTGCACGTTTAGAAAAACACGGACAAATTTCGTCAACACTTATCTAAATAAATTAGATTAACAGATAAAATCTACCATCAGCATGTTATGACAAGACATAACAAGAACTTTGGCTGCAACATGTTAAACTCTGATAGTCGCAGACATAAATGCTAAATCCTAATAGCAACTGGCAAAACATGCATAGGTAAAGTCGACCTAGTATTGAACAACCAATAAATCCATATTCCTATAACCTTGCATATTTTTTCAATGGCTCGCCTACACTACACAAGGTTAGTCTGGTTTTTTCCTCGTAGCCGTTTCATAATATGAATACCATTGGAGTGAAAAAAATGTTACAGCTGTTCTGCAGCGACTATTTGCAAGCCTGATGCAAGTTGCAGTGTTGCCAATATAAAAAATAACAATTGTTGCTCAAAGGGATTGTGAACAGATTCGTACAATTAAACAGGTTCTGCTAAGAAACATTCCTTCGAAGGGTGGATTTCACCAGAGTTGTCAAATCAACAGTCCGTTATTCTCCACCTATAGGGGGTAACAGTCCGTCAAATACAGCGAATGGGCTTCAAGTTCCAATCAACAAATTTTAGCAACCAATAGCTATGAAATGTTGAAAACAAAATACTGTCAATGTATGAGATGACAGCATGTCATTGAAACATCAGCGGCTTATTGAATATTAAGAAATTACCAAAAATTTCGTAGATATTGCTCGTTTCCAAACATTCATTCATTTACTTGCCGTTCATCAGTACCGTTACAGCACCGTCGACTGATATTCCCACAAAAGCATTCAGGATTTTTGATATCCATACATCCATAAAGTCAAATATTTTTTGGTTGTTCAGGAATTGAACAAACATCCGCACTATATTTATAACGATTAAGAAATATTTTTAAGGCAACCGTTTTTTCACGACTGTATTCAACATTTCAATAGAAATCACTGATATTCAGAGAGCTTTGACATCTTCCGTCAAATTGCATTTCGATAAGATCTTTTCCTATTGATCCAACTGACCGTCAAATATGAATATTGGTGAAATTGGCCCTAAATAACATATAAAATGCAACACCCAATATATATCAAAGTATCAGTCGTTTCCGTTGGTTACCATATCATGTGTTGTGATTGCTACGGGAAATACATGCAATGAAGGTTTTAATTTTTCTTGTACCATACACATGACAACATTTTAAGTCTGCTTTCGTAGATGGAGGAAGTCAGAACCTCACAAAAAATCATGCGAAATTCAAGCTATTAGCGACAGCGAGATACAGTCTTGTTAAAGGAAGATTATTGATATACAAGATTCCATAAACAGTAAATTATAATTAATTGATTGAAGCTTCCTCAATGTAAAAACGACATATTTGCCTTTAGTTTTGATGAGGACCTTGGTGTCGTTTTTGACCTGCAGCTTCCTTAATATCTTGCGTAAAGCAATTCCTGATGCTTGAAGAAAGAACTGCTATAAGGAAGCCTTAAGCTTAGCGACTATAATAATGCGACCTCGGATGGAAATGTCGTGTCTTTCCTTGAGGAATTGGTTTTATAATTCTCTCGTCTAGAAGTTCACTATTGAAGCAAATAGGGCCGCTCTCAAAGGAAGACTTTGTTAAAAAATACATACGTCTATTAAGTACCCGAAGACCCCAAAAACTTGGCGGTTACACATTTTTTGGTATAAATGTCACATAATAGTTTCAGGATATCAAAAAAGCAATTTGTTAATGACCAAAAATATGACCTAGCCAATGAAGGACCTTACTAGTAATTCGGTGGTCAAGTTTGTAAATTCGAATAGCAACCACTATTTTTAACAGCCGATCCGTATCGAGCTCGAGATTCTACATCGGAATGCATGTTCCTGCATGAGGCCAAGCGGTCATAAGTGGTTCAATGAGTATGACCTACTGTAACGTCTGAAACGAACACCGAACACCCTAAAAACAAGGATTCTAAGAAAAGTTTGAGGATATCTAAGAAGCAATTTGTCGATGCCCCTTAATATGACCTAGACAAGGACCTCAGGCGTTACAGTAGGTTATACTGATTGAACCACTTATGACCGCTTGACCTCATGTACGGAAATGCACTATGATATAGCATCTCGAGCTCGACACGAATGGTGGTTGCTATTTGAATTAACAAACTTGAACACCAAATGACCTCTGAGGTCATATTTAAAGTCATCGGCAGATTGCTTTACCGATATTCTCAAACTATTGAGGGGTGTTCGTGTACTTTCCAGATGATACAGTAGGTCCTACTGATTGAACCATTTACTACTGTTTAACCTCATGTATAGAAAGGTAATTTGACGTACAATCTCGAGCTGGACACGACCTATTTTTCACAAAATCTTTTTTCAAAAGAAATGCGTCGTTTCCATTTTGATGGGTTGAAACCTTCTTTAAAACCTTTTTAGAAAAGAATGCATGGTACCAAGTTTTAAGGGTTTTCCGGTATTTAATAGATCGTATATAAATACAGTTTTTTTGGTACAAAACATTTTTTCATACAACAAATCTTGTACAAGAAATTGTGTAATCTAAAGCATTCTTTATCGACTGGCAACGCTGGGTAAAATCCAAATGAAGAAATAACTAAAGATTATCTGTACATATTGTGAATATATTTTAGCTCAGGACCTCGATGCGGACGTACA